GCCCCATTTTGGTTATAGAGACCTGGACTTGGGGGCATTAGTCGCTTTGACTTTGGTTCTGTCCACGCTTCCTTGTCCTTTCCTTGTTCGTCCTGCCCCCAGCTCCCAAATGTCTGAGGGTTTTGGAGTCAGGGCAGGGTTTAGTTGGTAATGAGACTCTGGTGGCTTGAGGGAAGGTGCCTATTTCGGGTTGGGGACGGAGGCATTCGAGCAGGTTCCACCTGCTAAGGCTTCTGGGTCCCACCAGCAGGCCCTCTTCTTTTCTGCCTTTCCCCTGGACTCGGCCTTATCTTTAAGAGTAGAGGGTATGGAGGACAGTTCTGCCCCGGGTCCTGGTTTGGAGGATCCTGGGGCTGGGGAGGTGTCTTGGGTGGCTTGGGCCTCCTTTGACCCCCACTGTATGAGGATGATTTCGGGTAGGCTCCTTCATTTTGGAGGATTTCTGCTTCTCATACCTCACCTATGGAAGTTCTGGAGGTATTTGCTCCATACCTCCTGCAAGACCCAGATTGTGCCTCTGTGATGGATCTGTCCTCATTTGAGTTTGGTTCTTCTTCCCCGTATTGAGTGCATTTGGAGGTTCTGGATTGTTCCTGGCTGGCAGACTGCCTATTCTTTTCGTTGGGGGTGCATCATGGGTTTTGCCAGATCCGCATGCTTGAGTGGCGGGAAACTTATACCATTCTGCAGGTTTACCTGAGGGGCGAGTTTGAGCGCTTTAATGCATGCTTGTTTGCCCCTGTGCTTCATCATAATGTTGGCCTTGTGCAGCTGCACGTGCATGTTCCTACCCTTTTGGCATCTTTGGTTGCTGAGGATTTGTGCGCCCGTGGGCATTTGGCTTTGGTCTTGCGCATCTTTTCCCTTCTTGAGTTGTCCTCGGACTTTCTTGAAGGGGATGTAGGGGTGTTGAGTGCCGGGCCTTTGTCTGGTGTGCTAGCCTCGGTGGTTAGAGCGTCGGCAGCATTGTTGAAGTTGTTTGCGCCGATTCTCAAGGAGGCGGTGTTTCTGTTCTTTGTTTCTCACCTCACATGCCGGCAGGCTGTGCTCACTCTCTTCAGAATCCGCATGGGTTCTGGCTCTTGAGTTTTCGTCGCCGTTTTGTCCATTGCTTTTTGTGGAGACTGCTGTTGCACAGTTTCTGCAGGCGGCTTCGTCTAGTTGTGGTCCTATGTCAGACTTGTTGGTTCTCCAAGGTGGCTGGTCTCGGCCTCCTCGGAATGGTCATGCCAGGGCTCAGGGTTCTGCTGGTCAGAATAGGCTATTGGTGCCAGCTTCTGAGCCAGCGCTTCCTTCGGAGCCGGCATCATCTGGTTGGCACAATGATTGTTCTGCTCGTCGGTCAGCTTCTTGTAAGGGGCATCGGCCCTTTCGCTGGTTGTCCCGTTGACAGGGTGATGGTGAGGTGGCTCGCGCTGTATGCTCTCACTTGGTCCCATGATTCGTGGGTGTTTCAGGTCGTATTATCCAGCCTGTGGTGGCATTGGGCGGTTTCAGGGTTAGTGGGGTTTCAGGGTTAGTGGGGCAGGCTTCTTTCCCTGTGCTCCGTTGGGTTTTCTTGGAGTGGGTGCACTTGGGTGTGGTCCCATCTGAACCTCTGGATTCCTTGCCCATCCTTTCAGATGACCACTCTGTCTCAGGTCCGGCTTCTGTTGGAGCCGGGTACCTTGATGGTGTTCCTGGACCTCAGGAATGCGTATTGACATGTTCCCATTCATCTGAGGTTCAGGGACTGATTAGGTTTCATGGGGCATCAGGCTTACCGCTTTCATTGCCATTTGGCCTGAATCTGGCACCTTGTGTAGTCACGTGTCTTACCTGGGTCGTGGTGACCCATCTGCATCTACTAAGGGTTCGGATTCTGGCTTACCTCAACGAATGGCTGGTGTGGCTCCCAGCTGGTCTGCTTGTCTGCTCACAAGGGATGTGATTATCTCCCGGCTTGCTGGGTTCGGGTTCTAGGTGAACTGGAGGAAGTCCCATCTCGTTCTGTCCCAGGTTTGGAGCTGGCTGGATCTTGTTTCGGACTCTCGGACTGCTTCCATGTCTCTTCCTCTGAAGGCGTTGCTGCGGTCCCACCTTCATCTGTTTCTGGGAGGGGGGGGGTCCCAGGTCACTTGGCGGGTGCTCGAGTAGTTGTGCAGGAGCCTGAACTTCACCGTGCTGGTTTACCTGCTGGGTCGGGTTTGGCTTTGGCATCTGTTCTGGTTCCTTCGGAGTCCTTCCCGCCTCTCTCGTGATCGCTAGGTTTAGCCTTCAAGGGCCTTGCATCAGTTGCTGCATCACTGGCTTCCTCTTCAAGTTTTTCAGAGTTCAGTGCCTTGGTGCCTACCCAAGCCCTCGCTTAATGAGTTCACGGACGCATCGTCTCTCATCTGGGGCTTTGTGATCAGTGCTCATCAGGCCGGTCAGGGGCTGTGAGGTCTGTCCTTCTGTTGGGCTCACAGCATGGTGCGGGAGTACGCGGAAGTTTGGCTGTCTCCTCTTGGTCCTTGTCGGTCCTTGCTCCTTTGGGGTTGGTCACTTTGAGTGGCTCGTCTGCTGGTTTCTCAGGGTTTTGGCTCTCCGTGCAGTTCATATTCGGGGAGCGTCCAATGGTCTGTCTCATTTCGTTCCCCTATCAACAGAATGGACGGTTGACGCCAACTCCTTCAGTTGGCTCTGCCGGACGTATGCTCTGCCGGCATGGTCTCAGTGTCTCCTCATATATGTGGGCACCCTTCCCCGACTGCAGAGCCTTCACGGTGGGCGCCTTTCAGCAAGACTGGTCGAGGTGGGGTTACCTGTGCCTCTTTTCCCCAGTCCAGCTGTTGCTTCGGGTTCTGGCTCAGTTGGAGTCTTACCACGAGAGAGTCATCCTAGTGACCTCATGGTGGCCAGCCCAGCCGTGGTTTCAGGCACTGCTTGCTCAGTGTCTGAACCCAGGGCGTTTACCGTGGCTCCGCTTCTTCCATCAGATCGGACCGGTCTGGTACATGGTTGGTTCGTTCTTCTCCTCCGCTTTTCGTGTCTGGTCTTTTTGATGCAGGTTTATCACCATTTGTATGGTGATCAGGTGGTTTCGTTGATGGTGTCCCGCCCGAGAGCTTCGTCTCGGCGACAGTATGAAGTTTCCTGGCATTCTTTCTGCCATTTTCACTCTCTTTACGGGTTGTCTTCTATTTCTGATCGGGTTGTCTTGTCCTTTCTTTCTTGGCATTTTCAAGACCGTTATTTGATGACAAATACTGTTGCCTCATATCGTGTGACACTGGGAGAGCCACTCCAGCTTGTGTTCAGGGTGGATGTCACTTCTGCCCCGTTCCGTAAGCTTTCTCGTGCTTTATTTCATCTCCGCCCTGCTCGTGCTCCACCTGAGCCGTCCTGGTCCTCGAACAGAGTGCTCTCCTTTCTCTCTTCTTCTCGATTTGTGGTGGCCCCTTCGGTTCCAGATTGCTTTTCTAATTCTCTCTTTCTGTTGGTATTGGCCTCTGGGGGTCGTGTTGGTGAGCTTCATTCTCTCCTCAGCTGCGGGGGTTTCTGTTCTTTTGGTCCTGGTAGTTGGTTTGTTCGGTTGCAGCCTTCTCCTTCTTTTCTGACGAAGAATGAAACGACCACTTTCCGGAGGGGTCCTTGGGTGACCCAAGGATGCTTGGTTGGTCAGGCCGGGAGTGCATCATGTGTTGTGTCTGGTTGCGACTCTTCGCCGTTGCCTGTGCGCCTTGGCTTCAGTGGCCGGGAATGTGCTTTGGGTAGATTGGGTTTCCCTTGTTTCCTGTTCCAGGGCTCAGGTCTCCCAGGTCGTCTGCAGGGTTATTAAGTCTAGCCAACCTGCGGTCTATCCTCATGCCCATGACGTGCATAAGTTTGCTGCTTTGGCTGCCATTTTCGGTAACATGTCTTGGGCTGACATTCAGGTGCTGGGATATTGGAGATCGAACAGGGTCCTGGCCACCCATTATTTGGTACACATTCCTGGTTCTGGGCGTTTATGTGTAGCTTTGGGTTGTAGGTTGTAGCCAGTTGTCTCGCCTTCGAGTTGAGGAGCATGTGGCGGCCACTTCCCGGGTAAGTGCCTCTTTTCTTACTTTGGTTATGAAGCTCCAGAGAGCCGAAGGGGCTCCCCACAGAAAACCATCATTGAATGTAACGAAACACTATTTTCTGGGTGAGCCCTGGAGGCTCCCTGGCACCCTCTCTCCCTTCGGTCAGCGGTTTTCATGTTGTTTTGATGCTTGGCCTCCAAACTGGAGTTGTTGAGTAGCCGGCAATGAGGGTCCGGGGAGGAGAGGGCTGCGCAGACAAGCGAAGAGATGGCAAGGTGTGTTGTTTGCCTGTTTCCTTTGGATTTGGGGGAGTTCTGCCTCTGTTCAGTTTTTGGTTGCAATTTTGTTACCAAGTGGGGTCTGTTTTGTTATGTCTACCTTTCTGGGTGCCTAACCCTGATTGATGGCAGATTAGGAAAACCCCAACCACAGGGAGGTTTTCCAAGGGCAATTGCTCCCTGTGCCTCTCTGAGGAGACAAGGTTCTGGCTCTTGGTGCCCGATAGGCTGAACTCCATTAACTAATGCCCTACTCTAGTATATCGCATATTAGATCGTTAGCTCCAGGGAGCCTCTGGTGGCTCACCCAGAAAATGGCATTTCATTACATTCAATGCTGGTTTTATCTCCAAATATAATTGTCACAAAAATTCTAAATACTGTACTATATTGTCTGCTCCACATTTTTGTTTCTCTGCGTCGTTGTCAGCACTGTGTAATCTCTTCAATTGGCATTCCTTTTAAATAACTATTTTTGGTATCGGAGGGTAAACGAGACACTAACAATTTGGCTCAGCCAAAGTAACTAGAGAATAGCTGCTTTGTTATCTTAGTGATGTACTAAGCACAACTTAAGAAATGTGAATGGTTCCCAATTAATCCACTGGAGGAAAACTCCGCCTTTTGTTTAATGGTTGCTGTTTTAGTTTTGATAATGATAAATGTAGATTTAGTTTTACTTATTTTTGCTTTCCAGACAGAATGTGTATAATGCATTACATGAAACGATAGAGCACCGTGACCCATGGGCTGGAGGCCGATACCTAATATCTCTGGTATGGGATGCCCATGGCTACATATGGCATGGTAAATTGTATTTTATACGTACTTATTCCTCTCTTACTTGATTCGTTTCTACACAGTACTCATTCCAATTTTTTATATTCTTTGTAGCATACATTCATTTCAATTTTGTACTCATCATGATCCATCTCTGAATTTTATATGATAGGAGAGATCCATCACTCTACACTTGCTTTTTTTTTACTTTTTAAAAAGAGAACACAGTTAAAAATGGTTTGTATGTTTGTTATGACATAACAGGTATGGGCCAAATCCTGCTACTTCTTGTAATGCATTTGTTTATGTTTTATCATTGCTTTTCTGAGGGGAGCCCCGTCGGCTCCCTGAAGCTATAAAACTGACATGTGCCATAATAGTTTGGTGCCATCAGTTCCTGGAGTTCTATGCCTACCAGGGGCAACAAGCCAGAACCTGGCCACCGCTCAGAGAGGCACAGGGAGCAATGGCCATATGAGCTCTCTAAATTTTGAGTTTGTCATGTCTACCATGGACTGGGCAAAGCACTGGGAAAGGTTGGCGAACCAATACAAAGCTCTAAATGGGTAAAATTGCAACCTGTGTCCAAACAGAGCCAAAGAACTCCCCCCAAAAGAAAAGAAGGAAACAAGCAATAGTCACCCAACTAGGACCCCCTGCTCATTAATGCCCCCCTCTTCCCCAAGAGGGGGGGGGGAGGCGGGAACTGGCTGCACCCCTTCCCTTCCAGTTCGTTGACTGATGTGCCAGTGTCCTGATGTCCTCTTTGGCCTCATATTATGTCTGGCTTTTGCGAGTGTGCCTTTGCTAGCAGTGTTGTGTGGTGGTGGCCAGGTGTTTTTTAAGTATATTGGGCTGCATGCACCTAGGGCTATCTTCCCCAGGTGCCCGGTAAGTTCTTTCTTCCCTTGTGTGTCAGGGTTACCTTCCCTGGGACGTTTGGATCGCACTCGCATTTGAGTGCTTCATCCCTTGGTGGTGTTCTCATCCTTGGGGTCCGCTGGGAATCTTGGACTTCCCGTCTTGCCCTGGGTAGGGAGGATTTTTTTTGGGGGTGGGGCAGGCGCAGCTTGCATTTAGCGGCGGCCAACGATTCTCTCTGGGGACCAGTTGGTTTGTGTGTGTGTGTTGGTTCGGGGCCCTTTTTGGTTTTTTGCTTTCTTTGCACAGTCTCGCTTCCTTGGCAGAGGTGGTCTGCCTAGCTTCCCATTAGGCTAGCCTTATCTTAGGCTAGCCTAAGATAAGGCTAAGCCTAAGATCTATCTTGTGTTGGTTGTCATCCTTTGTTGCTCCGAGGTTACACAGCTACCGCTGTTTGTCAATTTGCCTGCAGCCGATAGGGGTTACCAGCTTAGCTGGCCCCAGTGCCTGGGCTTCTCATTGGGCCAATGTACCGTACAGGCCCTGGAAAACTCTGTTGAGCTCGGGGTTTTCAAGGAACCTGCACATGGAGCTGCACAATGCCAACATCCCAAGGAAGGGCAGGAGCAAACAAGCACTCATTGAGGTGCTCAAACTTGCCCCCCAGGAAAACCAGGACCACCGTCAACGCCTCACGCCACTCAAGCGTGCGAGAATGACAGAAGGTATGACAACCCTCCAAACCAAACAAATTACTGTCCACTAGCCAGGACGACTCCGGAACTGCATATCGGATCCAGTAGGGAAATGAAGACCCAAACCTGAATGAAGACAGATCCATAATAGAGGCATAATCCGGGTCGTGCAGGAGGTAAGCCGCAAAGGCCTCCCGCACCACATGCGGCTGGGAAAAGACACGCGTGCGGGAAGTCGAAAACCTCCGGAAAGATGGGACCGAAGCACCCGAAGGGACACGGAACCGAACTCGGGGAGGGGCAGACACCACATCCAAGCGCCCAAGTCTACCAAACAACTTTTTAATAGCTGAACCCCCAGGACGTGTACACTCACGGAGAGCTAGCAGGGACGTATCACCCTGCACTAAGAGCACTTATACACTAAGTATAAGAGCACTTGGTACATAGGGGCAGTAACCAAGGAAGACCCCCCTCATCAGGCAAACAAACCAAAAAAAGAAAACACCCGCAAGAGGACAGCGCACCCAGGCAGAACAGAGCCGGCCGCTATGAATGGTGAAAACAAGCCGCACAGTACCCTGCGCCCCTTACCAGTGCAAATTGCCTCTTACCCTAAGGCAAACTTGGGGAGCCAGAACACCCTAGCACACAATGGGTGGACCAAAAACCAAGCAGCCAATGGCCAGTCATAGGCAGAACCCAAGGAACTTGTGGAAGGTGGCCCTATGCCCCAAGGGCAGTACTTACTGAGCACCTAGGAAAGGAAACCCTAGGCGCATGCAGCTCGAGTACTGAAGAATTACTCCTGGCTTGTGCACCACCAACAAGACAGCCATCACACACAAGGCACAGAGCTGAAACAAGATTGGAGCCAGAGCACACAGCCTCTGCCTAGCGCATCAGCCTCAGAACTGGGGTGTGGATTGCCGGTGCGGGGGTCTGGGGCTCCTCCTTCCTCCTCCCAGGGAGTGGGGAGCTGCACAGACAGCGGCGTGGTGACGTGTGACGTCATGCTTGTTTGCTCGTTTCTGTTTGGGGAGTTCTGTTCACTAGTTCGGCTTTTTGTAACAATTTTCACCAGACTAAGGGGTTTGTTTTGGGGCGCCTATCTTTCTGGGTGCCTGACCTGGTCGATGGCAGACAGAATGCTTCCAACCACACGGGGGTTTCTATAGGCCATTGCTCTTCGCGCCTCTCTGAGGAGGCCAGGTTCTGGCTCGTGGTCCCCAATAGGCCCAGAGAACTCCATACACATGATTGATGCCAAAGTCTGACATTAGCAATATCAGCTTGGATAGCTCCGGGAAGCCGAAGGGGCTCCCCCCAGAAAAGCATAAAAATAATGAAATTCTTTACAATCATGATAGTCACTAAGCGGGCGGCTCTGGTAAACTAAGGCGGGGTTGGCCATGCCACTAGGAACCCACGCAATCGGTCGACCCATATGCGTATCAACAAAGTCGATAGTCGAGGTAAAGTCATAAGTCGAGTCCCATTTTCTGACAAAATTTACGTTGTAACTCGCAAAATTCGTAAGTAGGGGCAGTTGTAAGTCGAGGTGCCACTGTATGAAGGATTTTCATATCCTTCATCTCTATGATTTTGAGTTGGGTGCGACTCTCCCAGTGTTCGTCTCCAGGTGCCTTTGGGTTCCTTGGATATGTCCTGGAGGTTGTCTTCCTCTTGGATTTCCTCTGCGAAGGTTTGGGAGGCCCTTGGTGCATACCTCCAGCGAGATCCGGGTTTATGTCTATAATGGATCCAGCTTCCTTTGAATTTGGTTCTTCCCTATTTTGGGTGTGTTACAAGGTTCCGGAGTCTTCCTGGTTGGCGGACTGCTCTTTCTTATCTTTGGGAGCTTGGCATGGGTTTTGTCAGACTGCATGCTTCAGTGGCGAGAGGTTTCCTCTCACCACTCAAGGAGAGGGGGGGACCCCCGGGTCTTGCTCTTCTCAAGAGCGAGAAGTGGTCAGGCCAGTGTTCGGGTTTTGGTAGGTTGGGGTGGGCTTTTGGAGCCAGTTTCCAAGGAGGTGCATTCTCTGGGGCCTTCTTTGTCTGGTCGGCGTGGTGGTCACTCTGTGCGAAGGTCGGCGTCTCAGAGGTTGCATTGGCCCTTTTGCAGGGCAGTTGGTGGGGAGACTGACTGTTTGCCCAATCTTGGTTCCACAATTCATTGGCTTTTCACGTCGTGTCTTCCGGCTTTTCGTGGCGTTGGGCAGCTCCTCCTCCAGTCGGGGGATCGCTGGCAGGCGGGGCAGGCTTCTTCCACGTTCCTGTCAGGTCATGTTGGAGTGGGTTTGCTTGGGCGTGGTCAAAACGACTTCATCCCTCGAGTGGGTTTCTCACTTGCTTTCAATTCCGAAATGGGACTGTGGATCTTCGGTTCATTCTGGACTTGTTCTGTCTGAACCATTGGATTCCTTGCCCCACCTTTTGGATGACTGCATTGTCCCAGATCCGGCTTATTCTTGAGCCAGGCACTTGGATGATTTCTCTGGACTAGAAGGATGCGTATTGTCACATTCCTATTCATCTGGGGTTTAGGGATTGGTTAGGTGTCAAGCTTACCACTTTCGTTGCCTTCCATTCGGTCTTAATCTGGTACCTCGCATATTGACGTGTTTAACAAGGGTTGTGTTGTCTCGTCTTTGTCTGCTAGGTGTTCGGGTTCTGGCCTACCTCGACGACTGGTTGGTTTGAGCTCCCAGCCGGTCTGCATGTCTGCTCGCCAGGGACATGGTTCTTTCCCAGCTTACCGGGTTCGAGTTCCTGGTGAATTGGCAGAAGTCCCATCTGGTTCCATCTTGGGTTCCGACTTGGCTGGGCCTCGTGTGGGATTCTCTAACTGTAGCCATTTCTCTCCCTCCTGTGGCTTTGCTTTGGCTGCATTTCCATCATCTGCTGTTTTTGAGGGGGACCAGGGTCACTTTGCAGTTGCTCGAGCAGTTGTGCAGGAGCCTGAACTTTGCCTTGCTGGTTTTCCCGCTAGGCAAGATTTGGCTTTGGAGGCTGTACTGGTATCTTCGGGGCAGCCCCTTTTGCTGCTCTCGCGATCGCTGGGTTCGGCCCCCTATGTCCTTGCGTCGGTTGCTGCATCTCCGGCCTTACTCTTCAGAGTTTTCGGGGTTCGGTGCTGTGGCACCTTCCCTTTTCCTTGCTCGATGTGCTCACGGACGCCTCGTCTTTCGGCTGGGGTTTTGTGACCAGCGCTCACCAGGTCGGCCAGGGATTTTGGGCTCCGTCCTTCCGGTAGGCTCACAGTGCAGGTGTTTGCGGCTATGTGGCAGGCACTGTGGCGGATTCTGTTATCTCAGGGCTTGATGATTTGGTTCCATACGGACTGCTCTCCTGTGGCTCATTGTCTCAACCATGAGGGTCTCTATGGTCAGTGGCTCTTTGGGGCTGGTTGCTTGAGGAAGCTCTTTTGCTGAGTTCCCGGGGTTTAGTTCTCCATGCCGTTCACATTCA